CTGTGGTCCCAGCTACTTGGGAGGCGGAGGCAAGAGACTCGCTTGAGCCCAGGAGTTGGAGGTTGCTGTGAGCTGTAATGCCACGGTACTCTACCCAGGGGGACAGCTTGAGGCTCTGTCTCAAAAAAAAAAAAAAATAATAATAATCCTTGGTTTGGTGCCCATAGCACAGTGGTTACAGCAGCAGGCACATGCACCAAGGGTAGCAAGTTCAAACCTGGCCCAGGCCTGCTAAACAACAATGACAACTGCAACCAAAAAATAGCCAGGTGTTGTGGTGGGTGCCTATAGTGCCAGCTACTTGGAATAGGCAAGAGAATCGCTTAAGCCCAAGAGTTTGAGGTTGCTATGAGCTATGATGCTACAACACTCTACTGAGGGTGACATAGTGAAACTCTGTCTTTTTTTTTTTTTTTTCTGAGACAGAGCCTCAAGCTGTCACCCTGGGTAGAGTGCCATGCCTTCACTGCTCACAGCAACCTCCAACTCCTGGGCTCAAGTGAGTCTCCTGGCTCAGCCTCCCAAGTAGCTGGGACCACAGGCGCCCACCACAACGCCCAGCTATTTTTTGGTTGCAGCCATTATTGTTGTTTGGTGGGCCTGGGCTGGATTCGAACCCTCCACCTTAGGTGTATGTGGCTGGCGCCTTAGCCACTTGAGCCATAGGCGCCGAGCCGTGAAACTCTGTCTTTTTTTTTTTTTTTTTTTGAGACAGAGTCTCACTTTATTGCCCTTGGTAGAGTGCCGTGGCGTCACAGCTCAAAAAAAAAAAAACTTACAGGCCAGGTGTTGTGGGCTCATGCCTATAATCCCAGCACTTGGGGGGCCAAGGTGGGTGGATTGCCTGAGCCCACAGGTTCAAGACCAGCCTGAGCAAGAGCAAGACCTCATCTTCAAAAATAGCAAGGTGTTATGGTCTCCAGCTACCTGGGAGGCTGAGGCAAGAGAATCACTTGAACCTAAGAGTTTGAGGTTGCTGTGAGCTGTGATGACTCAGCACTCTACCAAGGGGGACCAAGTGAGACAGAGTCTCAAAAAAAGAAAAAAAATCCTACTTCCCAGAGTTGTAGGAAAGCTAGAGAGAGGTAGGGTCCATGAGAGAGCCTTTGTCACATGCTATGTGCTCATTAGCTTGAAGTCATTGTCCTGCCACTGGATAAGTCACTGATAGCCATGGGCCAGAACGAGGTGTGGCATTCAGTTGTGCAGTTTCATCACTGCTTAGGGACACCCAGCCAAAGTGATGCTGAAAGGCTGGCCTGTTCCCTGCTCACCAAGCATGTGCCCTGGAGGAAGAGATGTCTTTTCTTGCCTTACCCAAAGATGGCATGTGGTCTGGAGGCCACCTTGAAAGCATCTTCTCCTTCCTGTTCACCTATCCTGCTCAGCAGGGTGGGGAGAAGCTCCTCAGATAGTCCTGCCTACGCTAGTCTCTCTGTCTCCATTTCCTTTCCGTCTCCCTAGTCCCGCATGGTTCGGAACGAGACCCCCTACTTCATTTGGACTACTCGGCGGGATGTGCTGGACTGTCGCTTCCTCTCCAAGGATCAGATGATAAACCACTATGCCCGAGCTGGCTCCTTTACCACAAAGGTGGGCTCCCCAGAAGGGTGGGCAGGGAAGCTTCCATTCTCCTAGGCCTTGGGGCTGATAACCCTGCTCCCCAATATCCTTGTCAGGAAGAGGGAATTCCCAGGAGAGTGGGAATCTGACAGACCTGGGTTCAAATCCAGCCCCTGTATGGGGGCATAATGTGTAGACATAAAATGGGCTTCAAGATTCAAATGGGATCTGGAGGCAGAACAAATACCAAATCCAATGACAGCTAGGAAGAGAGCCCTTAGCTCTGAAGCAGAGGATATCTGGCTGATGGATCTATTCTGTCTTACCCGAGTTTCTGAGCAAATGACTTCGCCTCTCAAATCTCAGTTTCCTCATTTAAATGAGGATACCTGTTAAGACCTATCTTCTTGGTTTGTGGCAAGGAGGAAAGGTTTGGGTTTGTTTTTTTTTTTGAGACAGAATCTCACTTTGTTGCCCCTCAGTAGAGTGCTGTGGTGTCATAGCTCACAGCAACCTCAAACTCTTAGGCTCAAGCGATTCTCTTGCCTCAGCCTCCCAAGTAGCTGGCACTACAGGTGCCTGCCACAACGCCTGGCTATTTTTAGTTGAGGTCTCACTCTTGGTCAGGCTGATCTTGAACCTGTGAGCTCAGGCAATGCACCCACCTCGGCCTCCTATGAAGGGCTTTATAATTGTGACCTTCCATTAGATTATGGCGAGGGCTGGGAAGGATTCCTAGAGGAGGCAGCTCTTTAAGAATGTGAAAGGCTCACACCTGTGATCCTAGTGCTCTGGGAGACCAAGACAGGTGCATTGCTTGAGCTCAGGAGTTTGAGACCAGCATGCACAAGAGCAAGACCCCATCTCTACTAAAAGTAGAAACACTACCTTGGCATCATGTTGGGTGCCTATAGTCTCAGCTACTTGGGAGGCTGAGGAGGGAGTACCACTCAAGCCCAAGAGTCTGAGGTTGCTGTGAGCTATGACACCATGGCACTCTACCCAGAGTGAGACTCTGTCTCAAAACACATACATACATAAAAATAAGAATGTGAAAGGGCAGACAGGAGGGATATGAGGCATTCTTGGCATAGCGGGCACCCAGGCAAACATGGAGATAGATGTGAGCAAGTCAGTGGGGCAGAGGCAAATCTTGAGCTGTCTGGATGTGTGCTGAGTGTGAGGCAATCCCTTGGAACTCTCTGGGCAAGTCCCACCCTGCCCCCTCAGCAGCTAACTCCATAGGTGGGTCTATGTCTCAATCTCCGGAATTTGCCATGGTTTGATGAGGCGGATGCTGACTCCTTCTTCCCTCGCTGCTACCGCCTGGGGGCTGAGGATGACAAAAAAGCCTTTATAGGTAAGGAGACCCCCAGTCCCAGGCCTGGGCCCCTCAGGCTGGAGAACCAGGGCTAAGGCTTTGGCTCATACTGGAGAGAAACAGGTCCCTTCTCATGCCCTCCTTTCCCTCAGCAGATGCCTGGTCTCTCCCCAGTCATTTTTCCCTAACTTGCCTTCCCTGAATGAGCCTCTGAGCTTGGTTGACCCTGACATTCAGAAAAGCTTCAGTAGCTTAGCTTATATTCTAGAGCAGGTTCTAAAAGTTGGTCAGTTGAGTTTGGGATCCAGAATAGATTCCAGGCCTATGCCAAGTTCCATTGGTTAGATCAGATTTCATAAAAGACTTTAGGCTTTGGGTTTCTAAGGCAAAATTAGCTCCACCTCCAGACTGTGTTCTAAATTCAGGATTTGAATCCAGATTAAATGCTAAATTTAAATTACATTCCAAGTCTAAAATAGGGTTGGGGCCAAGGTCTGGTTCTCAGGCTAGAATAAGTATCAAAAGTGGATCAGGAACAAAAGAAAGAAATTAGATAGGCTCGGTGCCTGTAGTACAGTAGTTACTATGCCGGTCACATGCACTGAGGGTGGTGGGTTCAAACCCGGCCCGCCCAGCTTAAACAACAATGACAACTGCAACAAAAAATAGCCAGGCATTGTGGTGGATGCCTGCAGTCCCAGCTACTTGGGAGCCTGAGGCAAGAGAACCTCTTAAACCCAAGAGTTTGAGGTTGCTATGAGCTATGATGCCACGGCACTTTACCGAGGGTGACATAGTGAGAGTCTTATCTTAAAAAAAGAAAAGAAAGAAAGAAAGAAAAGAGAGAAAAGAAAAAAGAAAGAATGAAAGAAAGAAAGAAATTAGATAACAGGTCCAGGCAAAATTCTAAAGGCAAAATATGAGCCAGGTTAGGTCAGATTTCTAGACTAAGGTCTAGTATCAGAAAAGGTAGTCAGGTTCCGGATCCAAAATGGGGCAAGTCATGATCAGGTTCCGGAACCAGAACAGGCCTTAAGCCTAGGGGCTGAGCAGGGTATCCCCTGCTCCGGGAGCAGAGGACTTCTGGCTGACAGCTGCCCGCAACGTTCTCAAGCTGGTGGTGAAGTCTGAGTGGAAGTCATGCTCTATCAAGGCAGACAAGGAAGAGGTCCTGGGTAAGTACTATGGTTACCTCTATCCCCACCCATTTATCCTCCTGCCCATCTACTCATCCACCCACCTACCTGTTCACTAACACATCTATGTATTATCCACACCCATCTGCCCATCCATCACCCTCCACACCAACCTGTCCATACATTTACCCATCCACCTCTCCATCCATCTACTCCATCTACCTATTCACCCATTGTTGATCTTGTTCATCTACCCAACATCACTTCCACACTCCCTATTCATCTGTCCACTCCCCACCTTCCTACCTGTCTTTCCACAAATCCATCTACCCCTCAGTCCACGTACTCTTCCATCCTCTTATTACTACTCATCTATCCTCCACCCTAACCACCTGTCCATTCTTCTGACCCCACCACTTACACACCTGTCTTCCTATCCATTTGTTAATCAACCTGCTGCCTCATTAGCCCTCCCATGGGCCTGACATAAGGCTGAGCACCTTAGAGAGGACAGACTAAGAAGACACAGTCCATCTCTGTCCATGACCATCAGGTCTCTATGCAGGAGGAAACCAGGCAGTTTATACATGGCTTGAGGAGCCTGAAGGAGCAGCTGGGAGTGGAGGGGGATACAACGGGATCCTTACTGTCACTACATGCCAGCCTGACCCATTGCTTGCCCTTTTTCTCTCTGGATTTAGCTCCTATTTCCACACCCCTAGTCCTATAATTCAAGGAACCATAAGTAAGGGGCAGCTTTGAAAGAAAAGGAAGATCCCCATTTCTTCCAGGGCTGAGCTCCCCCTTGGTGTCTCATGTTGGTTTTGTCACAAACAAGGAAGACTGTTGTGTGCCTTACATCAGGGATGTAAGGGCCTTGGGTGTGGCAAAAGACCCCCTGGTTAAGCTCCCACAGGATAGGTCAGGCTGCAGGGATGTGAGGGCCTCTGTACACGATATTCAGAGCATTACAGATGTTTAGAGGTGAGTCAGGGCTATAGGTGTGCATCACATCCTTCAAGGTGTTAGTTCCTGGTTTATCACTTTGAGGTGTATGTCTGGGCCTTGCCAGTGGTAGGTCAGTGCTTTAGTGGGTATTGTAGGTATTGGTTAGGATTCTGGGAGTAGGTCTGGGTTTCTGGTATATGGATGGTATATGGATGTAAGAAGCTATATCAGATTTGGGGAAGGGGAATTCATATATAACTGGGTTCACCTACGTCAAGGCTCCCAGGTGCATTTTAGGCAGGGCCTCAGGTGTGTTAGAGGTCCCAGGAGCAGAGGCTGCAGATTTGTGCTAGGGCTACAGGTGCTGGGAGGCCTTAGGGATATTTAGGGTGTTGTCTCGAGTGACAGGTTCTGGGACAGTGAGAAACAAGGGCAAGAACTAGACTTACAGGAATACTTAGAGCAAAGCCTCAGGTAACTGATAAATCCTAGGGAAGTTGGGAATCTATTTGGTTTTGTGCTGGGCTTCAGGTATCCTTAGGATAAGTGACAGGCCTAAAGACAGTGGGGGCTGTGGCGTATGTCAAGTGACCTGCCTTGATGTGGAATAGTGGCAGGCCCTTCCCTATCTCTGCAGGAAAAAAGCAGCCCACAAAACAAGAAAAAAAGCTAGGGTCAGTGTCCCCAGAATTTGTGGATGAGGCTCTGTGTGCGTGTGAGGAGCACCTTAGCAACTTGGCCCACATGGACATCGACAAGGACCTGGAGGCCCCGCTGTACCTTAGCCCTGAGGGCTGGTCCCTCTTCCTGCAGCGCTACTACCAAGTGGTCCAGTGAGTATCTGTGCAGCTGGGGCCATGGGCCACGGGCAGGTGCCTAGAGAAAGACCTTGTCTGTCTAGCGCAGCCCACACCTCTTCCTCCAAGGAACACATGAGTCCTTTTCATTTCTGGTGTGGGGCAAGTTCTAGAGTGTTGCAAGAATGTCTCCAACATCAGGATTACATAAAATATTACATGTCTCCAACATCAGGATTACATAAAATATTACATCTGGCCGGGCAACACTCTACCGGCAACAGGAGGAGACTCTGTTTCAAAATAGAAAAAAAATATTGTATCATGGTTCAGTACAGGTAGCTAGCATATGTTCATTCAATATTTACTGCTGTTTCTCAACATTTAAAAAATTCCATGCCTTACCAGCCAGTTTTTATAAGGTACCTTTCCACAAAAATACTGATGGTTGTTTTCTTTTTTACTAAATATAAAATCATGTTTTCATGTTAAACATACTCTTACAAATTACATGTGTTCCTGCCATCCCCAATGTGACATTTTTCTGGGCCTTATCACAGATTTACTGAGCAGATAATTTATTCCATGGACTATGGAAAAGTTCATCAGGACTTGGGTGTGAATGTGCCTGGGAGAACTTACCAAATCTCCTCCATCTGACTCTCCCTGTTCCTGGCACTGCCCCAATGGCTGCTGCCTCCTCATTAAAAAAGAGAGAAGCTCTCCATGGCCAGAGACATTCGAGAGACTGTTAGCATCTAGTAGAGGCTTCCTTCCTATTCAGTAGGGAGAGAAGAAATGGGAGAGTCTGGATAAGGCAGCCACATGCAGTGTTTTGTGACTTAGGTTAGTTCAGGACATTTTCTGACCTGTAGATAACAGGGTCCTTCTTTGTCCACGAACCTCTGTCCGTGCAGCCCAGTTGCTGAGGCATAGTCCTGCAAAGTATTTACTTAGCCAACCATGCATTCACTGAATAAACTTTTAGGGAGCACCTAAGTGTTAGGTGTACTGCTTGGGGAATGGGACTGCAACAGAAAACAATGACTACAAAAAATGTATGCTGTCATGGTGCTTACATTCTGGTGAGGGGAGACAGACAGAACTGAACTGTCTAACAGTATGGCTAACAGAGCCAGGAGAGGAGTGATACATACGGGCCTGAAAGGACTTAGACAAGGAATGGAGCCACCTTCAGTCAGTGTTAGGCAGAGATTAGGAGGGGAATGAACCCCACAAAGCACCATGGGTGGAAGAGTCAGGCAGGACAGAGCTTGAATCCTGGCTGAGCCACTCAGTGCAGTGTATAGCTTAGTAAGTCCCTTATGCGCCATTCTTCAGTTTACATGTCTCTAAAATGAGATCAGTAATATATTCCTGGCACAGCTATTGAGAGGATCAGTGATAACATATAGAGAGCCCAACCCAGTGCCTACACATAGCGCTGACGCCTCCTTAGGAGCTGGAATGATTAAATTTTGCCAAAGACAGTATTAAGGTACCAGAAAGGGTGGTGCCAGAGGTGGAATTTGGAGCTGAGGGCATGTAGTAAATGGGGTTTTCTCAACTTTTCTCATTCCTGTAGTCTGAGCAGGTTAGGATTGGGGTGGTGGCTTGAGGGTGGGGATAGACATTTGGGAGGAACATACCTGGAATATGGAGGGGCCAGGTGTAACCAAGGCTGGTTGGACCATTGCTGGAGCTAGGGACCATGTCTCCTCTGGTCCTATCAATTATCTGTCCCTAGTCCCAGCCCACCCAAGTCCCATTGTCTCCACACAGTGAGGGGGCAGAACTCAGGCACCTCGACACTCAGGTCCAGCGCTGTGAAGACATTCTGCAGCAGCTGCGGGCCGTGGTACCCCAGATCGACATGGAAGGGGATCGCAACGTCTGGATTGTGAAACCAGGAGCCAAGTCCCGTGGACGAGGTAGGGGTGAGCCCCTGCTTCCTGCACCAGCACCCCATGAACTGTTTCCTACTAAGGACCAGTGAGGTTAATTGTGCCGGCTCTACTGAAACAAACTGCCTGAGTTCATGAATCTTAGCTCTGCTACTAATACTGTGTGTGACTTTGAGCAAGTTATGTCACCTTTCTGAACCTCACTTTCCTCCTGTGTGAAATGGGGATGATAATAATGGCTCCCGGGAGGTGAGGATTAAATGAAGTAGTGCATCTAAAGGCATGGTGCTGGCACAATAATCACTCCATAAATGTGGGTGGCTGTGATGATGATGCCAGCTCCTCTCCAGCTTTCGGAGTTTGGGTTAATGTTTTAGGTAGGTTTGGGGATACTCATGTGCAGGTAGTTGCTTTTCATCTAAGGGCTTTCAGATTTGACCAGTGCATCCTTGTGGGGTACAGCATAGTGGTCAAGGACATGGATGCTGGGAGCCAGACTCTTGGGCTCAAACCCAAGCTCTGCCTCCTTCTATTTGTAAGACTTTGGGCAGGTGAGCTCACCTCCTCTATGACTCATCTTCATCACCAAATGGAACCAATATCTACCCTAGAAGATTAAATGAGCAGAACAAAAGTAAAGTACTGAGATCCTGTGGTTTCACATAGTAACTACTATATAGGTGCTATTTTTAGCTATTATTCTGGCTGTTCAGCCAAGAATGAATGGCATTTAAATAGGAAAAGAAGCAAGCTAGGGTCATGAGTTGGCCGAGTATTTTCTTTTTCTTTTTTTTTTTTTCCCGAGACAGTCTTACTTTGTCACCCTTGGTGGAATGCTGTGGTGTCATACCTCACAGCAACCTCAGACTCTTGGGCTCAAGCAATTCTCTTCCCTCAGCCCCTCAAGTAGCTGGGACTACGGGCGCCTGCCACAACACCTGGCTATTTTTAGAGACAAGGTCTCGTTTTGGCTCAGGCTGGTCTCAAACCCATGAGCTCAGGCAATCCACCTGCCTCGGCCTCCCAGAGTGCTAGGATTATAAGCATGAGCCACTGCATCCAGCCCTAGCCGAGTATTTAAAGACTCCATAAGGACTCCTGAGTAGAAAACAGACTTCTAGCACCAGATCATGCCAAATACTGCCCTTAGATGAGTTATTTATGCGCAAGCAAAGCTGCTGCACCTCTAGATACTGTGAGACACTCCTCTTGAGGGTGTCATGTCAAAACCAGTGTTGGGTTCTATTTTTTTTTTTTTTTTTTTTTTTGCAGTTTTTTGCCAGGGTCAGGTTTGGACCTACCACCTTTGGTATATGGAGCCAGTGTTTTACTCCTTTGAGCCACAGGCGCCACCCAAGGGTTCTATTATTATT